CCGGCTCTGTGTGTGTGTGTGTGTGTGTGTGTGTGTGTGTGTGTGTGTGTGTGTGTGAGAGAGAGAGAGAGAGAGAGGCCTGCGCCGGGGTAGCCGCCGCAGCACCTCGACGCGGCGGAGGTCTCTGCTCTCTCTCTCTCTCTCTCTCTCTCTCTCTCTCTCTCACACACACACACACACACACACACACACACACACACAATCAATCAATCAATCAAGATCAAGATCTTGATTGATTGGATGACTGATTGATTGATTGATTGACTGTTTGGTTTACCATTGTTTTTCCGTTTTTTTTTTTTTTTTTTCCGGATTTTTTTGTTTTGTTTATCTTTTTTTTTTTTGTGTTTTTTTGTCTTCTTTTTCGAAAAAAACAAAAAAACGAAAAAACATACCAATAAAACACGAAAAAGACAAAGAAAAAACGACAAAAACGGAAAAAAAAAACAAGAAAAAAACGAAAAAAAACATACGAATAAAACGAAAAAAAAACATACGAAAAAACGAAAAAAAAACAAGAAACGAAAAAAAAAAACATATGAATAAAACGAAAAACAAAACACGAAAAAAGAAAAAAAGAAAAAAAGACAAACAAAACGAAAAACATCCGAAAAAAAAAACGGAAAAAAAATGGTAAACCAAACAGTCAATCAATCAATCAATCAGTCATGCAATCAATCAAGATCTTGATCTTGATTGATTGATTGATTGATTGATTGTGTGTGTGTGTGTGTGTGTGTGTGTGAGAGAGAGAGAGAGAGAGAGAGAGAGAGAGAGAGAGAATTGATTGTGTGTGTGTGTGAGAGAGAGAGAGAGAGGGGAGACCGCCACGGCGGCTCCGTGTGTGTGTGTGTGTGTGTGTGTGAGAGAGAGAGAGAGAGGGGAGACCGCGGCCGCGGCGGCTCCGTGTGTGTGTGTGTATGTGTGTGTGTGTGTGTCTGTGTGTGAGAGAGAGAGAGAGAGAGGGGAGACCGCGGGCGCGGCGGCTCCGTGTGTGTGTGTGTGTGTGAGCTCTTTTCTCTCTCTCTCTCTCTCTCTCTCTCACACACACACACACACACACACACACAAACAATCAATCAATCAATCAATCAATCAAGATGAAGATCTTGATTGATTGCATGACTGATAGATTGATTGATTGACTGTTTGGTTTTCCGGTTGTTGTTGTTTTTTTCGTTTTTTCGTCGGTTATTTTTCGTTTTATTTTTCGTTTTTTTTTTCTTTTCTTCTTTTTCGTATTTTATTCGTCTGTTTTTTTGTGTTTTTTTTTTAGTTTTTTTCTTGTTTTTTTCCTCGTTGTATTTCGCCGTAGTATCTCGTTTGTATTCGTATTTAGTTTTTTTTTTTTTTCAAGATCAAGATCTTTTTACGTTATTTTTTTCTTTTCTTATTTCAAGCAATCAATCAATCCGTCACGAAAAACAAAGACGAAAGAAAACGAAAACAAAAACACGAAAAAACAGACGAAAAAAAAACACGAAAAAAAAAAACGAAAAGAAAAAAGATAAACAAAACGAAAAATATCTGGAAAAAAAAAACGAAAAAAAAAACGGAAAAAAAATGGTAAACCAAACAGTCAATCAATCGATCAATCAGTCATGCAATCAATCAAGATCTTGATCTTGATTGATTGATTGATTGATTGATTGATTGTGTGTGTGTGTGTGTGTGTGTATGTGTGTGTGAGAGAGAGAGAGAGAGAGAGAGAGAGAGAGAGAGAGAGAGAGAGAGAG